CCCCCTCCCTCCCTCCTCCTCTTCCTCCTCCTTTTCAATGTACAATTAGGTTTCCCTTCACCCTGTCTGAGGTAAGGGAATCTGTTTTATCGGTTTGGTTCTGCCTGGGGGGAGGAGAGGGTTTGGTATGGGACATTCTTACCCTCACAGCCATATCTCATGCTCATATTTCCTCTCTACCTTCGTCTATGAGTAGTTGTTGAGGAAAAGGTTCTTCCACAGCGTGTCTCATGGACACAAATCGATATTTAGGCTGAACATTTCTGTTCTCTGGAAACAAGGAGCTTGAGTTAGATCATAAAAATTCCTGCTAACCAGACATGGCAGTTTGAGTTGGATCTCAGGTACCTGCATGATGGGGGAGAGAATACTCCTTAAATTATTCCTTGATATCCCAGTAGGCACCATGGAATGCACATACTTGTATACAGCACACACACACACACACACACACACACACACACACACACACACACACACAGTAATTTTTAAAAAGAAGTTTCTTCTAGCCAGAATGTTTTTCAAGTTGGCAGGTCAAAATTCTGTTTTCACCTCATGAAATTTCAAAGTGTAGACATTTCCTATTTTATGAGCATTTGCGGTCTGCATACACTTTATATATCCTACCTACAAACACCTCGCTTTAGAACGGTCCTCTTTTTCTTTAGTCACCTCTGTTGCCAAGTTCTTGACAGATTGTTCTTAGAAAAGAAGAATGTTTCAAATTTCTGGATTATTTGAAAGAGAAAACATTGAAAAATGAAACAAAGAAAAGTTTCAAAAATATTTGTAAAAGGTAACATTCAAAGATAGGCATTAAAAGAATTAGAATACAGTTCAAAATTTTCAAACCAGAGAACAAAAGCAAAATAAGAAAAACAGAACCCAGGCTGATTTTTAAACTAAAAAAGACAATGAAAGGAGAAAAGAGAATCATAGAAAAATGAAGCACAAAGTAAAATGGTAGGAAGGCTCAAATATTTTAATAAAATAAGTGGAGCAAATATGCTAGTTAGAATAGGATGGGTTTGAAAATGGTACCATAACATTCTGTTGTGTGGTTTTTAAAAAAAATACACCTAATAATTCAAGACAGAGGTTAAGGTAACAGGAAGAAGGCCAGAAAAGCAAAATACACAAATCTCACAATGATGTCAAGTTCAGTTAAAATGTATTTTAAGAAGTTTCTGTAGTAGCGATGATGCCATTATACAACATTTAAAAAGTTGAAACCATTACAAAGAAGCCTGAACATAGTTCTGAGACCAGAGAAGACCAATAAACTGTCCAGGATAAACGGACAAAGTCAGTCTCAGAATGGAGGTTTTCAGTTGTGGGAGAGGTGAAACAGCCAGATATTAGGATCATGATTAGGGTTAATGGATACTTATGTTACTTATTTTAAGTTTGACTGAGTGCCTGTTTAGTGATAGACCCTCTCCTAGACATTGGTTAGAGTGGTGACCTACAGATATGGCCCTGAAGTTGTGAGTCACACAACTCATCACTGAGGACTGGGACAGCTCTTCAACATAGGATGACATCTAAAGCCATAGTTCACGAGTTAATGCTGGTACCCTGGCATTAAGCTGACTCCACCCCTTGACAGCCAGCAAAGTAGCACACCAACATTCAGGCAGCTGCTTAGACGGCGCAAAGGGCCGTGTGTTGTGTGGCTATATCACGGCCGCGTAAGGACTCTGTACACATGTGCAAGCGAGCTTCCTCTTTTAAATGAGCATCTCTCATCGGTTTGCCCCTTCTTTTTCCTCCTTCTCTCTCCTTCCCCCTTCATACCCCACCCCTTACCCCCTTCCATCTCTGTTCCCCAGTTAGCCAACACCTATCCCTCCAATAAGCACTGCACGGGTTTGGTGAGTTTTGTGGTTCGTGTTTCATCACCCATAGCCACAGCTAAGGGAAAATAACAACAGTTAAGCTAACAGTTTGAATTTGTGACACGGGGTAGCATGGCTTGGGTAAGTATTTTAACCTTAACCTGTTCATCAACAGAGTGTGATGTAATGCCTAACAACTGTTGATGGGTAATATAGCATCAATAGTTGAAGCAGTTAGCATAAATTCTCAATAATTGGTAGTGATTATTGTTACCTATTATTTTGCAAAAAGCTTTGAGTCAACAGCAGCTACTGTAATAACATTATTGTTGGTAAGTACTATACTTTGGTGTATGAGTATTGAATAGATGATTCCATTTTTTTTCTCGAAAATCTTTATCGTTTTACGTATTTAGGAATCACTGTTGGTGAACTTGAATCCTGTTACTTGTAATGGCCCTTTGTGTGCTGGAACTTCAGACCTAGAAAAGTGTGTTGGGTCTTCACATCTAGTTCAAAATGGTCACTGCTATGGGCTGAATGTACAAAGCCCTTCCCAGGCTTATGTGTTTGATCACAAGCCTCCTAGCTGGTGGTCCTGTTTTGGTAGGTTGTGGAGCATAGTTGGGTTACATAGGCCACTAGGCTGGGGGATGAACCTAGAAGGTAATGTCCATGGCCACAGCCCAGCTCTCTGCTCTCTGATCCACTGATGTAACAGCTGTTCACACTAGCTTCTGCCACAGTGGATGGAGCTCCAGTCTTCTCCATGGTGACGAACAGTGTCCTTCCTCTTCCTTTAAGTTTCTTTGGCCAGACCACATCAAAGAGTACTCTGTGGGTGTGCCTTGGTATTCTATCATAATGTTTACATAAAACTCAGTATGTTAAACTAGTAATATTTTTTAGAGTGGTTTTTTTAATCAGTGGCTGGCTGCCTGTTTATGAGTTGTCACTTCATTTTAAGAGCTGATATGTGGCCAAGAATCTAAATAGCATCCCCAAGGCATTTTTGCAATCTGTAGCTCACCTAACAAACACATCAGCAAGCATTTATCAAATGTCTCTGAAATGTCAAGACTTTTACCATGTCAGCGATGATGACAAATGTATCTATGAGCAAGTTTTGATTCCTACTCAGAAGGTGGAGAAAGAAGAGAGGCATTAAAAAAATATATTCCTTCCATGAGCTATAAGGAAGGCATGGCAAGGTCATCTATTCAGCCAATACGAAGCAAACTGATGAATAGAAATGAAAGTCATAAATATCATGCATAGAGAGTCAAAACTTCTTATTCTAAGACAAAAGGTAAAAGAACGTTGGTATTTACCAGTGTTAGAGAATTCAATTTTAGAATATAGAAATTGTATACAATAATTAATACACAGTATATAAATGTTTCTTTATAGCAGCAATGAAGCACTGGGAAATTAAATTTAAAAGTAATGTCAATATAGCTTCGAAAATATAAAATACTTAGATGTCAATCCTTCCTGAACCGTTCTAAAGGAATTCACTTTCAAACAAAATCCCACTAGACACCTGTGTTGACATTTATAAGCTGAGTTTAAACACGGGAAATATTACAAAAGGCACAGAATAGCTAAAACAATTTTGAAAAGGGTGATATTAGAGGACATTTGCTTCTTAGCAACAAGTCCTAATATACCAAGAATGATTGAGACATTGGAGCATGGACACAGACTGTCAAATAGACAATGGAATCAGGAGTGTCCAACCTAGACCCCATTGGCCCTATGCACCCCAGGATAGCTATGAATGTGGCCCAATGTGATTTGAAAACTGACATAAAACATTGTAGGTTGGTTGGTTGGTTGGTTTGTTTTCAGCTCAATTGCATGGTCCTCATACATGAACTTTGTAGATGACTGTTCTAGTTAGGGGTACCATTGCTGTGATGAAACAGCGTGACCAAAGCAACTTGGGAAGGAAAGAATTTATTTGGCTTATTCTTCTATATCACTGTTTATTACTGAAGGCAGTCAGGACAGGAACTCAAACAGGGCAGGAATCTAGAGGCAGGAGCTGATGCAGAGGTCACAGAGGATGCTGTTTATTGGTCTGCTGCCCATGGCTTGCTTGACTGGCTTTTGAAATATTTTTTCCATATTTTTTTATTTACCTTTTTACGCATATTACTTTCAGTTCCCTCTCCCTCCCCTCCTTCCCTACCCCCCAATCCTCCCAACCATTCACCCGCCACCCCCCACCCCCGCTCCATCTCCCCTCTGCTCCCCAGGGAGGGCAAGAGCTTCCATGAGGGATTTTCAGAGTCTGTCACATCATCCCAGGAAGGGCCTAGGCCCTTCCCCATGTGTCCAGGCTGAGAGAGCATTCCTCCACGTGGTATGGGTTCCCAGAGTCCCTCTGTATACCAGGAATAAATACTACTCTACTCTCTAAGGTCCCACAGATTGCCAAGGCCTCCTCTCTGTCACCCAGGTTCGGTGGGAGGGTGTCTGGATCAGTCCCATGCTGGCCCCTCTTCATCAGTCTGGGGTCCATGCATTTCCCCTTGTTTAGGTCAGTTGCTTCTGTGGGTTTTGCCAGCCTGGTCTTGATTCCTTTGGTCATCACAGCTGTGGGCGTCTGCCTCTGCCTCCATCAGCCACTGGATGAGAGTTCTAGGATGGCATGTAGGGTAGTCATCATTCTCATTATCATGGGAGGGCATTTAAGGTAGCCTTAATGCCAGTTGGTATCATTTTTGTAGATCTGTGAAGATCTCACTAGTGCCAGATCTCTTCTCCAACTTATACTGGCTCCCTCTTCTATGATGTCTCCCATCCTTTTCTCCTCTATTCTTACCCTGGCTCAACCTTCCTGCTCTCCCATGTCCTCCTTTCCTCTTTTCTCCCATCTCCTTCTGCCCTCTTCTTCTCACCCCCCCAATTCAATTAGGAGATCGCATCCCCTAACCCTTCTCCGGGTTACCATGTATGTCTCTCTTAGGGTCCTCCCTACACCCCAGACTTTCTGGCGGTGGGATTGTGGGCTGGCAATGCTCTGCTCCATGTCTAAAATCCATATATGAGTGAATACATACCATGCTTGTCTTTTTGTGACTGGGTTACCTCACTCCGGATGGTTTCTTCCAGTGCCATTCATTTGCCTGCAGATTTCAAGATTCCATTTTTTTAAGCCGAGTTTTTTTTAACTTTTATTAATTCTTTGTGATTTCACATCATGCGTTCTGATCCCACTTATCTTCTGTCCCCTCTGCCCTTGCAACTTCCCCTGCAAAACAAAACCAAATGTAAAGGAAAACCAAAACCAAACAAACCAAAGAAACAAAAGCAAAACAACAAACAACAAAAAGAAGAGTCTTGTGGTAACCTTAGTGTGGCCTGTTGAGTCAGTTTACCCTTTAGTACATTATCTTTGCTTGCAGTCTGCCTGCTTTCTTATAGAACCCAGGACCACCAGCCCAGGGATGGTACCACTCACAATGGGCTGGGCCCTTCCCCATCCATCACTGATTAAGAAAATACTCTAAAGGTTTGCCTACAGCCTGATCTTATGAGACATTTTTTCTTAACTGAGGCTCTTTTCTCTCAGATGACCAGCTTGTGTCAAGCTGACATAAAGCTACCCAGCATAATGATAGTGTCGCGTCTCGATGTCAGAAAGTTAGACATGCTTGGGAGAATCCAGAAACAGTTCCTCACTTGGAGATCACTTGGCTTTTAAGTTAAGTTGCCAGAAGAATCCAATGTGATACAAGTTGTGCAAGTTAGTTTAATGGAACAAGTAGGTTACCATACAGGAGAACACGAATCTTTCCCATACCTCTCATCACTCACAAAAATCAATGAACAATCTCCTCAGCTCAGCAAAGTGAGGATAAGAACAACTCAAAATGGATGCTGCATAAAACAAGGCGTGAAAACGGCTGGAGAAGCAGATGGGGATTACTCAAAAGTAGCGGGAGCTTGGAGGTCAAATGGAAAGCACAAGACACAAAAAGTCACCCTCGATTCACTTATTAAAATCAACAGGGGTAAACATGTTAAATGTTGGACTCGATGTGAAACAGCTAGGACTTTTTACAACATACATAATTGGCTATAAAATGTGACACTCATCTTGGAGGATAACCTAGATGTTTCTTGTGAAATTAAACATACATCTGAGATATAATTGGATAGTGCTCAAAGAAAGATAATAGAAAAAGATACATACATTGTGGTGTATTTTCCCAATGAAATACCACTTAGCAGTAAGAGCAAAAAGCGTAAATGGCTAAAGGGCAGAGCGACATGGCTGGATTTCATTACTCTAACAGAAAGCTCCAAGATCCCAAACAAGGTATTCCATATGGTTATAGTCACAGAAATTCTCAAATGATGGTAGCGTAATCTACAGAGGCAGCAACTGGGACAGAGTTTGATACTACTTGGCAGGGGGAGTGACAATTGAGTAAAAAGAGTCATTAAAGAACTTTGCAGAGTGACATATATTGTGGAGATAAAATAAGTATATACATTTACCAAAAATTATGAACTACACTCTTAAGATTTATGCATCTAAAGAGTCTGTGAGTTAAAGAACTAAAAGCTCTTCTTTTGGGGGTACCCACTGGCCATTGCCTCAAGTGTTAAACATGAATTCACTTACGTATTCTCAGAGGACTCTCCTTGGTTTCATGAAGCTGTCCATGCTAAGGATCACATCATTTTGTGTCTGTGTGTGTGTATGTGTATATACCAATACTTTCTGACCTTTAATTGAGGTTAGAGCTTGTGGGCCATTATTCTTTATTTAATATATTTCAATTAAAATATAGCTACACCATTTCCCCTCTTTCTTTTCCTCTCTCCAAGCCACCCCACGAGTCTCCTGTGTTGCTATCACTCTCTTGCAACCATCAACTCTCTTGTCTCTTTCCTTCTTACATTCCCCTGTTGCAACTTAGTAAACCTAGGCTTGCAGATGAGTATTTCTGGGTAAGCCTCCCCAGCTGGGTAGATCTAAATGGCATTTCTTTTCTACCATAACCTTTCAGTACCAAGCAGGAAGGAGGGCACCGCTAGTTTCCCCGCTGCTGAGGTGAGCTCTTTTGCCCTCCTTAAGGCATAGATATGCATCTTCATTTTTTCTGGCTTCATTTATCATATCCCATAAGCTTTTCAGCTAATTTCATTGCCCCATATTCATTGCAAATAAAATACAGCATCCCTTCCAAAACCCAGCATGAGATTTGTTAAGAGAAGCTTTCCTTGAGAGGAGCCTTCCCGCCCGCCTGGTTCCAGATCCGCATCAGTCCCAAATAAACACACAGGAGGCTTTATTAATTATGAAGCTGTTGGCCTTGCTTGTTTCTTACTGGCTAGCTCTGACTTAAGTAATTACCCCATAATTGTTAATCTAAGTATGTCTCTTACCGGAGAGGTTTCCGGGCTTCCTACCCCAATGGCGTTACATCTCGACTCTCCTGTGTTTCTCCTTCCCAGAATCCTCCTGGACTCCTAGCCCCACCTATCTAGATTCCTATTGGCCAGCAGTAATTTATTGACATATACACAGGACTTCCCCAACAGAGATTTAATACTCTAGTTGTTTTTTCCCACTACCAAATCTAAACACTTGGTAGCAATACCACCCAGTCTATTTCCTTCCCTCCCATTCCGGCAAGAGCTGTTCCTTCTTCCCCTCCACGAAGTCAATGTCCTCAATGATTCTCTGGTTCCCACCTTATCTTTGCCAGACAGAAGTTTTATTCCATTTTTGCCGTCTCTACTTTCATTAGGGGACCACTGGACACACGCTCAGCTGTTTGCCAGCCCCTTGCTCTCCTACTCCCCCTCAGCCATCACCCCACCTCTCTACTTCCCTCAGGCACTTTTCAGAGACAACCAGCATTTCTGAGGGCTGATGACTACAGTCGGATCCAGCCTATGGTCTGATGATGGGCTCATTTCTTTGAAATTGCAGGTGGCCCCGTGATGACTGGCTTTGCATACAGCGTATTACCAGAAGAAATGTGCATCTCATCCAGGCAGGTGTCTCTGGGTATCAGAAGTCAGTGCCACGACTTGCAGATGCAGTCGGCCAGTTAGGAACCAGGAGCACAATGCTAGGAGGATTAGGTATTTCCCAGTCAATGGAAAGAGTGTGGTTGTCCTTCTCATCTCCCAAGGGTCCTGAAGCCCTGCTGGTAGAGGTCACTCAGTTCAGTCTCTGCTTGACTCCCAACAACCGAAACGAATGGACACCATGTTCTTACTTGAGCAGCATGGCCCCAGATAGACCTGGCATGAAGAGCTGACACCCTTTGCCACCTGGCTGGCCACTGGTATCTCAGCCTGCTTTTTTCTGAGAAGTGCTTAGAGAACAGCATTGGTTTGTCATTAGATGCATGTGACCAGGGCGTTCTTGGGAAAGTGACTTAAAACATACAGCTGCCAAGTTCTGCTTCTGCTTAGAGAAGCGTCTCTTGTTCCTGGCAATTGACAGCTAAGGAAAATATCACTATCTCCATTTTAAAACTTGCGATATGAGTTTAGAGAGCAGAAGGATCTTGCCCATGGGTGCAGAGTTCATAAGTGGGAACCTGAATTTGCAAGTATTTGAGTTCATTGCTTCCTGCACCCTCCTCCCTGCTCTCATATCATGTGGCATGTTAGCTATAAGGATGCTATTGCCACTGAGATTGCGTCATTCTTTTCTCTAACTCTCACCTTAGGACCCTCTTCTTTAAGCTTATATTTTTTATTAATGTATTCTTTACATGCCTATCCCTGTTCCCCACCCCCTTTTCCTGCTCCCCCCACTCACCCCCCACCCTGCACCTCCCATCTGCTCCTTGTAGAAGTAGACTCCCTAGGAAGTCTACTAAGTCCGTCCCATCATGTCTTTGAGGCAGGAACAAGACACCTCTCAATGGGAGTGAGGGAGGAGTGATAACATGAACAAAGAAGTCAAGATCATCATGGGGAAACCCACAGAATCAGCTGACCCAAGCTAGTGAGAGATCACTGACTCTGGTTTGACAAGTGGGGAACCTGCATAAGAACAAACTAGACTCCCTAATGTAGGTGACAGCAGTGCAGCTGAGACAGCATATGAGGCCACTGGCAGTGGGTCCAAGGTCTAACTGTGACGGACCCTTTTCTTAATAGCTCTTCCTGTTGGCCTGGTAATAAAATGACGCCCCCAAGTCTCTTAGAAATAGTTTCCTTGTGACAAAAAATTTGTTCTTACAAGTGCGATGGGGCAAGATTCGGGAATCACGGCAGCAGCTATCTTTCTGCCTCCTGACTTCCAATCATACCATGCCTGTGAGGGATGTGCATCCTTCGAGGCACAATTACACCACACTGGCAGGACCAAGCCTGGAGCTGATGCAAGAATTCACAGATGATGCCCTGGCCTGAGATCTTCCTTTCACGGAGTCTCCTCAGATACCCACATCTATCGCCTAATGTCTGTCTAACTACTAGGATGCTCTAGTTGCAGGACCCACCTCCCCAGAACTCTTTCTAGAGCTAATTGTTGCTTTCTCAAGTCAGCAAGAACATCATAATTAGGGAGCATGCCAAGGCAACCACTGGCCCCCACAGCTCAGACAGTGCTGCCCCCTGCTCCTGCCTGCGGCAGCAGAGTCTGCTCTCAAGTTGACCTCCCAACTTTTGATGGTGGATTCTCAGCAGGTGGCTGTACTGGGTCTTTCAGGACCCGTGGCAATTGGCCATGAGGAGGTCGTGATGGGAACATCAGTAGCTATCTGTGTTCTGTTTGTCCAGAGTAGTCTCCCCACCCAATACACAATTTTCCCTCCCCTCCCCTTCCTTCCCCTTCCCACCCGTGACTGCTGTGGATGCTGGCCAAAAGGATACACAGCTCCAGGCCCCTAGTGAAGGAGAGGGAGGGAGCCACACTTGTGAAAACGAGACTTTAAATCATAATACGACAATTACTGCTTCTTGGCAGTGATGTCTGATTCTCTTACCTTGCTCCTAGGCTCCGGGAAACCGCACTTACTGAGAGGACTTGGGTATGACTATATTAGCTCATTCTGCGAATACCCGCAGGGAGCATCCTGTTTCCCATGCAGTGTAAAAGTTGTTGACAGGTTTCATGCCCTTTGCCTGCAGGAGGGGACTTGGTGAGGGATTCTGTTTTCCTAGAGGGACAAATGGAAGCAGAGGGGTCTTAGGAGGGGGAAGGCATACTTAACTGCAGGAACAGCAGCTCCCCCAGGCAGGAAGTATTGCTTTCACTGGAGATGGGTACACCAGACCTTGGTCTCAACCACTCTCAAGTTCTATTTTTTTTCTCATAAATGACTCACATGGGCTGATGAAGACTTAAGCTGGCCTCATGCAACAAGAGACCAGGAGGCCACAGAGGACCACCCTGTTTCCTTCCTCACCCTCTGTCTGGACAGGTTTTCCCACTTGCCTGTTTCTCACCCCTGCCTACACTTTCTGCACCTGCTCTAGCTCTCTTTGTCTCCGTTAGTGACTGTCACTCCCAAACCCCTTTAGCAATGTTCCTCCAGTCATCACTATGGTGGAGCTATGAACCCTGACCCCACCCACAGAACCCACCCCTTTCTGGAAAGCTCTGCTTCCCTTAAACCAGCACGTTTGGTGACTGAATTTATTTTTAGGGGAACTGACTTCCTTGTCCCTGGACTCCTGTTGAGGTCAGTGGCTGTTTTGTTTTTGTGACTCTGAGGGTTTCCTCCCCAACTCTTCCTACTGGCTCCAATCCAGTGTTGGTTGGATCTCTGTACTGGCTTATTGTCAGTGCCTCTGTGAGCCACTCAGTTACAGGAACAAAGTATAATTGCTTGAAAATATCACAATGAAACCCTTTCCTTTGTATGAAGGGTGTGTGTGTGTGTGTGTGTGTGTGTGTGTGTTTGTGTGAGAGAGAGACAGAGACAGACAGAGACAGAGAGAGAGAGAGGGGGAAGGAGGGAGTAAAAAGAAGGAGGAGGAGAAGAGGAGGAGGAAGAGGAGACACCATGGAGACATTTGAAAGAAGAGACCAGTGTTTTCAAACAGGATTCTATCAAGCCCAGGCCTGAAGTCTGGGAAATAATAGTTCTTGGTTTTCCTTTAATTGTCAAGTAGACAATTAAAACTCATCATCACAGCCCCACCTCTTGTCAACTTGATATATAAACGCATTACTTTAACTCCTTGTTCAGAAGCCTCATGTTTATCTCAACATAAAATGCAGGCCGACAGCAAATGTTCCCACAGTCTTTAGCAATTTTAACACTTTAGAAGTCCAAATCCTTTTATTTGAAACTCTGTCAAATAAAAATAACTTAGATGCTTTCAACACAGGATGGTACAGAATGAACACTCTTACTCCAGAAGGGCACAGCAAGTGAACGACCACCAAGCTAAACTGAGGCTCAGTCGGAGGAACAGCCAGTCTTGCAGCTTTGGTGTCTGGCATCTGGGTCTTAGGGTAAAACCTTCTGGAGCCCAAAGGGCCCGGGCTGCTACCTGCACTGGATAGAGTTTTTCTTTTAGGGTTACAACAGCCCCACCCCTTACCTGTAGTTCTCCCTGGTGACATTCCACAGCCTGGCATCCCCACTATTCTGTCTTGCTGTAGCTTAGGCTTCAGTTTCACAGCTTCATGCAATATCCTCTGAGATTCTCCCAGGGACTCCAACCTTGCCACATGGGACCTGGCCTCAACTGTTCTTCAAGCACCCCCCCCAATCCTTTGTATTTTATGACATTTAAAACCAGTACCAAGCCGATGACTCTTACATTGCTTTTGTTAGTCTAATGATATAATAATGACTCTAAGTTGTGCTGTTAGCTTGAGAAGTGTCCCAGCCTCCTTGGATCACAGATACAATTTCTGTGTGCTGATCCTGAAGAAACAGTTTCCCATGATCCCAGAGCAATAAAAGAGACTCTTTACAATGGAGCTGATTGAAAAACATTAATTATAGCTGTTTCTTTAGCACCAGTTCGAATGCTCTTCCATCCTGAAATTTTTCGACCCAACACATTAGTCTATCATCTTCAAATTTAGATTTACTCAGATTTTCAGGACACAGGCAGAACAAATGATAGTCTTGGCTAAAATATCACACAAATGGCTCCTGTGTCGGTTCCTGATAGAGTCCTTATTACCCTCTGATACCTCACATGCTGGGCCCTGACTCTCTGCATTTCTCTCAGCATTTTTATCTTCCAGGCTCCCTTTAGAATGGGCCCATTAAGCTATAAACTTTTCAGGGTCCAAATTCCAAAGTCTTCCACACACTCCCTTACGAAACAACACGATTAAGTCTACTACAGCAGTAACCTCACTCTTCATACTAATTTCCTGACTAGTTTCATTCTGTCGCTGTGATAAAATACTCAGGCAAATAGCAATTTAGGGGAGATAGGTTTTTTTTGCTTCCAATTCCAGGTTATAATGCATCACTGAGGGGTTGTCAAGGCAGGACCTCGAAGCAGCTAGTTGTATCATACGCAGTCAAGAATACAGAGAGGTGAATGTGTGCACGCTTGCCTCTCAGCTAGTTTGCTCTAGCCTTATAGTCTAGTACCCTAAACCAGGGATTGGTGTTGCCAATTTTGGGGCTGGGGCTTCCCACACCAGTTATGGCTGTCAAGACAATCAATCCCCCACAGACATGTTCAAAGGCCCTCCCAGGTGATTTATCATTGAGACTTTTCCCAGGTAAATCTAGATTGTGCCAAGTTAACAATTAAAACTGACCATCATATCCTACTCAAGCTCTGTCTAGAGCTTATTAAGTCCATGGTTCTGTATATTCATGGACTTAATAAGCTCTAGACACAAAATATGTACCAAAAAATCCTGTTGATTTTCCTGTCATTCTCTCCTAAGCAAGAAGTATAACTACTCATGTATCACTTGCATTATATTTAATATTATAAATAATGTGCAAATGATTTTAAATGTATAAGAGGGTGTGTGGAGGTTATAGGCCATTGGTTCTCAACCTGTGGTTCGAGACTCCTTTGGGGGAATGGCATGTAAGATATTTACATGATGATTAATAACAGTATTAATAACAGTAGCAAAATTGAAGTTATGAAGTAAGAGTGAAAGAATTTTATGGTGTGGGGCACATCACAACATGAGGAACTGCATTGAAAGGTTCCGGCTTTAGGAAGGCTGAGAACCACTGTATAGGTAAAAGCATGGAAAGGTGGAAAGACATTATTTTAGGACACACACACACACACACACACACACACACACACACACACACACACACAGAGTTCTTCCTTGGAATCCTAGATATGACCACTGGGGCTGCTATGCGATCCATTCACAAGGCAGCCAGCACCCAGATTCTTATTGCCTCAGTTAAAACCGTGGGACTCTCAGAACAATGAAGATAAAAAGATAGAGATGATGAATGGGGGCATTCTTAGATAGAGAAAATACTGATGGTAATCAGGACTGGAAAATGACAGTTGGCAGATGAGTAATGGCTGTTGACAGCTCTGGCTGCTCAACAGGAGAGAGAAGACAGCGAAGAGTCGCAGGGATGGGAAGTTGGATCAGGGAGCTGTGAATTGTCTCGAGGTAACTAGAGCTGCCATTCTGTGCTCACCATCTCTCAGAACCACTGCTTCTAGTGTTCCCTTAGGATGCCTGTCTTCTTTATGTGCCTAGTCCTAAGTCTATCACCTTCGCTTTGCTCAGATCCACAGTGTTACATATGGGGGGAGGGTGTGGCTACTGGTAGGTTTCCCAAGGTCCAGCGATGGCCCCACATGCATGCATACGTGGGCAGTACTAACTGAACTTAGGTGGTTATCCAAAAAGAAAGAAAGAATGAGCCATGAAGTTGGGAGAAGAATGTATTAAGAAGGATATGGAGGAGAGAAAAATAGAATAGATATCATATTTTATTGTATAAGAGTACAAAATTCTTGAGAATTAAAAAATTAATAAAACTTTCCCCACTCATGTTCATGTTCTTTTTATGTTCTTGGAAACTTCCAAGCTACCAGTGAAAAGTACTTTCCAAAAACCTCTTGTCTTTCTTGGAGAACGAGGACCGAATCCAAGTGTTGGACAGACCACACAAGGGTGCTTTTCTTCTGTTCTCTTTGTGTATTCTTGGCCTGGAGTTGGGGAAGTGGTAGCAGTTCACAAGCTCTGTTCTATCTGCTCCTCCCAGGAGAGTGAACATGGGATCTTGGCCTTCTTAGGGGTCCCCAAGAAGCCAAGGTGTCACACAAGTGATAGCTAAGCCTATACTGATCTCCACTAAAGGTTTTTCTTTCCTTATTACTTGTTCACATTCTACAAGAATCTTGGAAATCAAAAGTTCACAATGTCCTTTGAGTCAACGCTCAGAATTTTATCATCAGGCAGTTCCATCCACAAAGCACTTCATAGTGACTGTAGGAGTAGATACAGACTCAAACAACCTCTCCCTTAGAATAGCCTAAGGGTCTTGTGCCTGCCTGTGCCACAACACACACTGGTGTCTTTGTTATTCCATTCTCTACCTTCTTAATTTTTATTTTCAAGCCAAGCTCTCGCTGTTGATGCCAACTCAGTGATCACACTGCCTTTGCCAGCAGATAGCTTTTCTTTAGCCCTCTCTCCTATAAGGATCAAAAGACCTTTCTGAATAGTCCCTGGTTTAGAAAATCTAGCATTAAGTTCTCTATTGCTGTTGGGAGATTTTAGAAGCACAGGACTTGGGTTCAAATCTCACCTTATCACCCACGTGACTTTGGGGTGTAGGTTAATCTCTCTGAGTGTCATTATCTGTACAATAAAAGTTATATTTATATGTGGTGGTTTGAAGGACAATGAACCACAAAGGGAGTAGAACTATTAGGTGGTCTGGCCCTGTTGGAGGAAGTGTGTCACTGGGCTGGGAGGGCAGACTTTGAGGTCTCTTTTGTGCACATTTCCCTCAGTGTGACTGTCAGTTGACTTCCTGTTGCCTGCAAGGTGTAGAACTCTCAGCTATTACTCCAGCACCATATCTGCCTGCCCACCGTCATGCTCTCCATCATGATGATAATGGACTGAACCTCTGAAACTATAAGGGAGACACCCCAATTAAATGTAGGAGTTGCTATGGTCAGGGTGTCTCTTCACAGCAATGAAACCCAAACTAAGACATTGGGTTTTAGGGATTTTTGGAAAGAAAAGTAAAATGTACAAGAAATGCCTACGAAAGGATAAGACATATATATATATATATATATATATATATATATTAGTTGCTTTATGAGATTTTGTTCTCTTTAAAATGCCTTTCACTGTGGAGACAATTTTGCTTTGACCACAGCCAAACCTCAGGGCTAGAGATCTTCAGCTTCAATATTTATTATAAGAGCTATATACTAAAGACATTGGAGTTTGTTGATAGATCAGGAAAGATCTCAAAGTTCAAAACCTTACCTAACATCTTAAAACAAAGCTATAAATCTAATCCATCCACTTGGGACTCTCAAGGATAGTTTCTTATTGCCAAGATGCATTTCTATCCC